GCAAATTCACACTCTCGTCGATTGCTGCGCGTCAATAGAGAATAGCAAGCCTCCAATCCAATCTCTGCCAGACCACTTCCAGTCACTCCATGGTGGGATTAAAGGAGGATATTTAGTTAGGTCGGCGAAGTGTTCATTTATACTCTCGGCTGCCAGTCCAGCTTGTGCTAGTTGTGTGGCTTTGTAGCACAACCATCACTACTGTCACAATCTACACTTGCCGATAAATGCTCAAAGACCTCGATTCATCAGTGGTATGTGCGTGTCTTGAGCAGCAGTGAGATACAGTGCCGCGGTGACCGAGGATGAACATCGCGTAGGAGCCGCACACTTCTCATTAGTAATCCAACACTTGCTTCCATTTGAAGGCTTCGTAGAACTCAAGACACCCGATACCACTCAAATCAAAACGCTTGCTGAATCTGTGCCTTGGATAGACTCTGAAGAAATCCTGTAGAAGTGTTGTGGCGTTGTGCAAGAGGACTATCAAGAAGCAACCTGAGCACAGTAAATTAAACACGGTGGCGACGGTACAGGATGCCTCTCCTTTGGCAGATTGGCAAAATTCCGAAGCGTCATTGGCTCAATGGCCATCCTGATTTTTATCAATTGTCTCAGACGAAGGATTTGGGCAGTTGTGGATTTGCATCTGCATCTCTTCATTTCGCAGATCGACCGCAACTTTGGATACGCGTATTTGACCATCGGCGCGTGATTTTTTCTCAGACTAGACTCCTTTGTTCCTTACATTTGTGCGCATAGACGAGCAATTTCCATGGTTGGAACGCACGCGTGTTCGTTGACAAGTCGCTTGGACAAGGATTGGCTGGAAAAGTGAAATTTTTTTTTGAACTCTTCATAAAAATAAACGGAAAGCAGCATATCTAAGCTTTTTATTTCCTGACTGCAAATTTGTCCATAGATAGGTGGCTTCATTGCATTTTTCGAAACACTTGAGCTAGAGAACCTCAATTTCTTGACTAAGCCAAGTCCCCATTATCATTACCATCACCATTGCTGTGAGTCAGTGGTCAGAAAGACGCCCCTTTGATGCTGATTTGCTCAAGAGATGCCTCAGTATTTAAGACGACCGACTGCCTAGCGTTAATGTCCATGAGTTGATACCATTTGCACTGGAGTGTAGACGAGATAAGGACAAGTGGTAGGCGGATGTGTGCGTTTCCAGCTTACGCAGTAAAGGCCAGCGTGAACGATGAAGCAGATACTGCCGAGCCGACTGCTGGTAGACCTAATATATCCTATCCAGGGAGTCGGACTCGGCATCCAAAGACGCTTCAGCAGAGCTCATCTGACTTTTAAGTGGGCCATCACCGGCTGCTGATTGGGTGAATCAGCATATAAAGCCAAGTAATTGTGAGCGAGGCAGTGAGATCACTGTTACCCTGATTTAGAGAGAGCTTAGGTGGCATTTACTCCATCTCAGCAAAAAGCATTCAAAAAACTCAAACGCATGTTCAGGAGCATAAAACATCTGAGGTGGCACTATGATAGAACGTTCGCATGTGGGCGCACTATTGGCTGTGTTAAGGGGGTGTGGCTTGACGACCGCGAGTGGGTTGAAAAGGTTGTAAGCAGCTTAAGGAAAATCTTAGCGATTGCTATGGCCATCAGAAATTATTCACCACCTTACATATTGCTATTCTGTCAGGCATTCTTACCAAATATGATGATGGCAAGGAGAATTGCGAACACGCGTAGTAGATTCCTCATTCGGAGTGATGTGAGAGACACTTTGTCATTCTACATCCTCATATAGCTTAAGATGTGCAGCTTATTTGTGAATTGGACTGCTTTGAGGTGCTTTTGAATAACATACCCATTGACGACAAGCGAATCACGAAAGCGCTCTTTCATCAACAGCCTTCATTTCCAAACCCTCAGTCATGGGTGACAGCCATTCCAACAACTGGGTTCATTGAACGTGCATCCCCACCTCTTCTACACCGTCTGCACTTGCCATGCAACTTTGCAGCTTAAGAGAATATTCTCTCGACAGTAATGCGTGAACTTGCAATGCAACCTCCTTACTAATTCGTTTCCTAGCTGATCCTGTTATTGCTTCTTAGCAAATGCTGAGTATCTTCTAATTGTATTGTTTTTGATAAGAAGAATTTAATTTCATTATTAATGGCATATCAAAAATTTGTGAGTTATCCTTATTGAGACAATTTCCACGGGCCGGTTTATTGCCATGTCCACTTTCTCTCAACTCGTCTACCTCAATGCTAAGGCTGCGATTACCGTATTTTTTTGCATCAAAATAGACATCAAAGCCAATATATGCACTTTTGTAAATACAAAAGTGAGGAAGAGAACATGCTCTGGGTCGAGTCGCAAAGCTGTATCTTAATCAAGTGTACGAACATTGCGAAATGTGATGGTGGAAAGAATACCGGTTAATGAGCAGACTTGATTAAATGCCACTAGTACCACATCAAGCCTGTTAGTGATTAGAGAATGAGGTGGTTGAGAGTGAACGGTGACTGCACGAAATAGCAAAGCGGGCGTTTCGTATGTAAGTGATTGATTGGAAGTGTGTTGTTGACTTGTTGCATTAGGTCAATCACTCTGCCTCCAAATATGAGGGCGATCACAATAAAGCTTTTCCATCAATCTAGTGCCATCATGTACACTTCATCACGAGGAGAATCACCATTTCTGAACCAGTCAAAGCACTAGTGATTTTGTTAGGCCTCGTCGGCAGCGCTTTGTAGAAATTGCTTTGCTTAGGAGTATGCTGCAACACAGTGTGACCCTCATCAAGGAGGGGGTTCTGGCACTGGCAGTAGACATGTGACATGCCTCACTGTCTTCACTCGTGGCTCCCCGTGGAGGCCACAATCACCCACTTTACTACGGGAGGTGAGGAATAACCAACAATTTAGATCTATTGCATTGTAGTAAACAACCGAAGACCTTGAGCGTTAGCTTGGCTAAATTTGATGAAAATTTGCCAAAATAACATTGAGAGGATTTTTACGGCTCATATGTAACCGCCTCTTATACACAAAAATTAAAAGTGGAGCTTTACCTATTGTTAACAACAAAAATGAAATGTTGACCGCGAGGTTCCGAGGACCAAGTATACATATACTTGGACTCGCCCTAATGGAGTCCATTTCATCTCCGTAAAATGCTGTAACAGTTGTGGCATTGCCACTACATCGACGAAAAATACTGGTTTCCAAGTCTAGGGATTAGCAGTGAACAAAGTGTCTGTTCAAAACACCCGTAAAGATCCAACAGCAGACATCATGGCAAACATGACAGTCAAATAACTTATTTGATAGATTTAGAAAGAATTTAAATTAGAGATCGAGATGACAACAATACGACGCAGAGCAAGTTGTCAATCTCAGACATCCCCCACAAGTCTGTAGCTATAGCCTCCTGCTGAATGTACGTTAACGAAATTCAATGCTTAATCGTATCTAACCCTAGCAATAGTGGTGCCGATTATTTCCTAGGTGACATCTGCCAGTTTTGCCTACATCATGTTGAATGCGGCACAGATCTGCCAAAAATCTACTTAATGCCACATTTAACTTTTAGTATGACACTCACGAAGTAGTCACCACGTAAACCGGGTAGACTGTCGAGCTCAGAAATCTACTATGTGTAAAAAAACACCATGCTTTTCAATCTCTACTAAATACAGTGCTGCAAAAGTAACAATTTAATCGGTTAAGTTGAGTAACGACGTTGAAAGAGGCTAACTGAGGCCGTTTATTTACTAACATTACTGGGTGCCTCTCTTTCGGATTTCCTGACACACCATTTAAATTTGCCTTTCTGTGTAAATTAAAGCCCTAGTCCTAGCCCAAGAGAAGGCTACCCTCCAAAAAAACTTTAAATTTAAAAATGTTTTCTTTGTCATACAGTAGGGCAAATTCGCTTTTACTTCCACCAAATTAATGCATGTAATTTGCTTACGCAGGCAGCAACGTTTTGGAATTCCATGGGAATATGTAAATCATTGGGATAGACGAGGTGTGAGACGAGAATAGAGAAGAAATAAACCAGTCCAAGTTACCAATAACTTGTCTATTTCACCAATTCTACCGCTTCACAGCAGCATTGTTCACATTTAGACCAAAATCGTTCTAAAAAGAGCCTGCCTCTTTTGCTTTTTCATTGCAGAATCTGACCTTGCGTTGTATAACATCACCAAGCAGTTGGCAAAGCCCTGACTGCCACATTGCTCAGTCGGTGGTTAATTTACTTCCTCCATTAAGCACCTGCAATTAAAAGTGAGTACTAACACAATATATCATCATTTCCCTGCAAGATATCGGCTTGTGAACCCCAATCCCATT